TCCATTTCTTCTGTGTTTTCCATTTTATTAGAGTACAGGTTCTCAAAGTAGGTATTGATAATCCTCTGGATTTCTGCTGGGTCTGTTGTGACTTCCCTTTTTTTGTTCTCAATTGCATGAATTTGAGCCTTTTCTTTCCTTTTTTGATAAGATTGGCTAAAGGTTTATTGATTTTATTTATTCTTTCAAAAACTCAACTCTTTGATTCATTAATTTTTTGTGTCATTCTCTTAGTCTCCATTGCATTGATTTCTGCTCTGATCTTTATAATTTCCTCTCTTGTGTGAGCTGTGGTTTTGTTATTCACCTCCTTTTCTAGGAGTTTGAGGTTCTGCATTAGGTTATTTATCTGAGTTCTCTCTGTTTTCCTAATATGGGCAGTCACTGCTATGAATTTCCCACATAGAACTGCTTTCATTGTGTCCCATAGATTCCCGTATATTGTACTGGCATTATCATTTACTTGTAGAAACTGTCTAATTTCTTCTTTAATTTCCTCTGTAACTCATTGGTTGTTCAGGAAGGTGTTATTCAATTTCCATGTGTTTGTGGGAGTTTTGTGGTTTCTTATGTTATTGATTTCCAATTTAATTGCACTATGGTCTGATAATTTATAGGGGATAATTTCAGTTCTTTTACCTTGACTTAGACATGTCCTGTGAGCTAACATGTTATCTATTTTGGAGAATGACCCATGTGCACCTGTAAATAATGTGTACTCTGATTTTGTGGTGTGGAGCTCTCTGTAAATATCTATGAAGTCCATTTGTTCAATAGCTTGGTTCAGTTCTTGAATTTTGTTGTTAATTTTTTGTCTACATGATCTGTCTCTTTGTTATAGTGGGGTATTGAGGTCCCCTACTACAACTGTATTAGTGATTATTTTGTTTTTCATGTCCATTAATATTTGTTTTGTATAGTTGGGGGCATTCATATTTGATGCATACATATTTAGGATTGTCACCTCTTCCTCTTGGATTGTTCCCTTCACAAGGATATAGTGACCATCTTTGTCTGTCTTAATTAGTTTTGGTTTGAAATCTACTTTGTCTGAAAATAAGATTGTTACCCCTGCTTTTTTCTGGGTTCCTGTCATGTGGTGAGCCATTTTCCATCCTTTTACTTTCAGTCTATGAATTTCTTTTTGAGTTAGCTGTGTTTCTTGTATACAGTATATTGCTGGATTTTGCTTCTTAATCCATTCTGTCAGTCTACTTCTTTTGATTTGTGAATTGAGGCTATTAACATTGATAGTTATAATTAATAGATATTGACTCATCCTTGTCATGATGTTTTACTGTTGTTGGCTCATTTCTTTTCCCCCCTTTCCCTTTAGTTTCTTACCTTGTCTGGTGGCTTCCCTCTGTTTAGCCTCATGGAGTTGTGATCTTCCTTGCCTTTTTCTAGGATATTGCTTAGAATTTGTTGGAGTGCTGGTTTGTTGTTCATGAAATCTCTCAGGTGTTCTTTGTCATGGAAGTAGATAATTTTCACATTGATTTTGAAAGATAGTATTGCAGGATACAACATTGGAAGTTATTTTCTTTTAGGGCTTGAAATACTTCACTCTAGGCTCTCCTTGATTTGATGGTTTGTGATGAGAAGTCTGCCATGATTCTGATGGGCTTTCATTTATAGGTGAATTGTTTCTTTTCTCCAACTGCCTGTGGAATTTTGTTTTTCTGTTGGGTTTCTGGGATATTGACTATTATATGTCTAGATGCAGATTATTTTTGATCATAGCTGGGTGGAGTTCTATATGCCTCACTTATCTGTATGTCCAATTCTCCACCTCTGCTTGGGAATTTTTCTACTATTACTGCTGTGAACAGGTTTTTTTTGTCAATTGTACTTTCTCCTGTTTTTTTGTGGACGCCTATCAGTCTTATGTTATTCTTCTTTGCATTATCTAGCAGCTGCTGAATTGGTTTCTCATGGTCCTTTACTATTTTTAAGAAATCTCTGTTTTCATGGTCCTTCACCACAATCCTGTCTTCTATATCTTCTATCTACAGATTCTCTTAATCTGCTCTGCATTCTTTCAATGGAGTTTTTAGTCTCCTGGATATCTGTTTGAATCTGTTTCATGGATTCCATTTCTTTTTTATGTTGGGTGATCATGGTTTCCATTTCTTTCTTATGCTGGACATTCATGGCTTCCAGCATGTTTCTGAGCTCATCTATTTTTTTCTATCAGCTTCTGTTCTAGAGCCTCTAATCATGTCTCTCACTCTGCTCACCATCTCTGTAGTTATCTGGGAGGTTATTTCTCCTTTGAATTTTTCTAGAGCCTCATTCATCTGTTTTGTTACTTCCTGTGCTATCAGTTCAAGGTGTCCAGGTAGTTGCTTATCAGACTTTTCCACCTCATTTCCCCCAGAATTTGTCTTTTGTGTGGTGGAAATCTGGGTTTGTGACTTGCTTAAATGTCTTCTCATTTTTGTTTTTGGTACTGTCCTTTGCTTAATTCCTGGGTTGATGTTTTGAAGTTGTTTATTGTAAGTATCTTTGTTGGTGTATTTAAAACCCTTTTGGAATGATTGCTTCTCAGAGGTGTCTTTCAGATATACCTGTTCTTTAGGTTTTGAGTCTCTAATGACTCTGAGGCTATCTCATTTTCATTATACCTGGAAGGACATCTGATTACATCAATCATAACACTGTAAACCAAGTTATACAATCAGCAAGCCATAGCATTTCTCCTCTATGATACCCCTCTGCCATGCCACCTGCCTGGGAGCCAACTGACTACAGATTGAAACCTCTACAAACTGTGAGAAAAATAAACCTTTCCTCCTTTATCTTTGGCTGTCAAGTATTTTGTATCAGCAATGAGAAAAGTAACTAATACATCCCCTAAAGCCATCAAGTCCTTAATAGTAAACTCCTCCTGTTGCACAGTAAGGACTTCAATGAAGTTATCTTCTTGCAGATCCAACTTCACCCTCTTGTTAAGGGACACTAAGTTGTTGAAGACCCCTTTGGATTCCTTTCACACCTTCTCAAGACCATGAACTGCATGCACAAACTGAATGCAAAGTTTCTTTCCAACCCTATTCATGGTGACAGTCAATACCTCACACCAAGCAAAGTCAAGGTCTTTTGTGGCCTTGTACATGTTATAGTCCTTCCAAAATTGTTGGTAGGTTGATTCTGTTTCATCAGTTGCCTTCACTGCCTGATGAAAAATATGCCATGAATAATATTTCATAAAAGTTGCAATAACTTGTGGTTCATAGGTTGGATAAGCACATAGTATTTGATGGCAGATGCACTACTTAGTGTGAAGAAAGTTGTCCATGAATTGGGAGTGATCTGGTCCACTGTTAGGCAGCAAAGGACTGTTGAATAGGATATCATTCTCCAAAGATATTTCTCTATCTCTGACAGAAAGTGGTGGAAAAACCAATCCTGGAAAATGGTCTGAGTAACCCAAGATTTGGAGTTACTCTTCCACTCAACAGGTAGAGCCTCTTTGGATATGTTTTGGAAGGTTTTTGGGTTTTCTGAATGGTAAACTAGGAGAAGCTTTAGATTCTTTTCACTGGAAGTGTTGGCACCAAATAGCAAATGAAGTCTGTCTTTTGCTGCTTTGGAGCTTATCATCACCTTTTCCCTTTTAGTGGAGTAACTTTGTTCTGTCATCTTTTTTCCAGATAATCCTATCTCATGGATGTTAAAAACCTGTCAGGGTAAATTACCACCTTCCTCAATAATTTCTCTAAGTTTTGCTGAAAATGCTCAGGCAGTTGTGGTATCTGCATTGGCAACCTCATCACTTAATGTTACTTTATGAATGTTGGTTTGAACCTTGAATCTGTTAAACCATCCATGCATGGCAGTAAAGATACATCCTGTTGAGCTGTTTTTTCTTCAAGTCTTCACAGAGGCTTGGAGCACTATCTTCAATAAGCATCAAGCTGAGACAGAATCAATGCTGATACTGATCAGGCATTCACACAGTGAGTAGTTTCTCCATCTCCTCTATCACTTTGCCATGCTTTTTTGGATATTATTGTTGACTTCATTGGCAGAGCAGACTTTGCATGTTGCATGATCTTGTCACATAGTTGACAATTCATGTTATAAGAATGAGCAACATCTACTACCTAGGGCTGATCAAACCCTCAGCTATCTTTTGGAAGGAATGATGAGGAATAAAAAGAAAGAGACAGAGACAATTTTCAAGACATAAAGGGGGCACTGGGACAAGACCTGCCTCTAACAAACAGATTTGAACAAAACTCCACAGTTGGTCCACTTTTTTTAGCCAGTGAGAAGCACAGGCAGAGTGGTAGAATGCATTTCATGGAACAACAACTACAGATAATGGATTAATTAATGAGGAACCAGATTTTCTCTACACAAAAATGCTTGTGTATTGACAAGTGTCCTCAGCACATGGTATTGCTTTAGGAGTATGGGTGTGGGGAGGGGTTAATGGCATTCCACTCATAGCCAGGGGGCATGCAGCCTTCCTGATGTTCAGGTGTAATTTCGAATATTCTGGAGGCAAGATAATACTGACCTAGATACTATGAGATCAGATTTATGTAGTCTAGTCCCTAAAAGTTCCTCCTTTTTGATTTTCTATTTGCATAGTTGAAATACCTTGACTTGAGGTTTAATGGCATCTAGACATTTTCTGGTTTGGCTTCCCCTGTGGCAGACTATAGTAGAAATACAGAAATACAAGACAGAAACACATTAATATAATCAAGGCAGTATAAAAATCCAAAATGGGCTTTAAGATAGTTCCATGGATTAAGCTGATCAAGAATATCAGCAAATTGATCTCAATTCTGAGTTTGCTTATCAAAATTTGAGTCCACTGAATCATAAATATTACTTCATTTTGTAATGCTTCTATATCAATAGTTATATTACTATGCATAGCACCCTGTATGTACTTTTTTATATGCTTCCAAGGATGGGTAGACTGGTTATACATGAGTGGAGTTATACAATACTAATATTAAAATAACACTGAAGACCTTGTTGTAATTGTAGGCTTTCTGTTTGATCTCCCATCCACATAACAGTGGTCTCTAAAACACTGACTTGTGACTACAATTTTGCATGAGTAGAATGTTGTATATTCCAAGACTTGTCCACAGTTCTGGCCCAATTATTTACAAAATGAGCAGTCTGTATAGAGTGAGCGAGAGATACAGAAGATACAGCAACACTAGAAATTAATAATACTGAACAAACAATTCCAGCAATAATCAATCTAACATCTTTTTTGTTGAGTGAACAAGGCAATCAGTCAGTGATTGAAATAGGTAAATAGTAGAAGTATTGGCCCATGGCTCAATGAGATTTACTGGCACCCATACTCCAGACATTCACCCTAAGACTAGCCCTTGTTAACTAGGGCTCCAGTTGATACACAATAGCTCAATGTAGACTCTGCATGTTAATGAGGTGTGACTCGATTCAATAATCTCATATATAAAGACATAAGGGTTGTAAGTATATATGGAAAACTGTGCAGTCTTATTTTTATCAATTAGAATATTTGAGGTATTTGTAGTAAATTTAGACATGTGCCCTTTCTATGGCTGATCACTATAATAAGGAAGGGCCAGTTTCCAAAATATTTCCTGAAGGGGTCCAGGTGTGCCACTGATAATGGCCTGTGGAAAGACAGGCCTAAAAGTGGACTCATGCCATTCAAGTCATCCTTTAGCATCAGAATATAGAAGTTATTTTTTACACTAGTGAATATCAATACCATTTGACTATATGCCAAGCTGAACAACATTGTCTCTCCCTACCAATTTTGTGCTGGGCCCCAATCTACAAACTCAAATTGAGACAAGACGGGGGACAGAGACAGGAGAAGACAATCTTAATAGCTTGTGAATGGGACAGTTGAAATTCTTTTGTTAAGGGTCTCATGTTTTGGTAAGAATATGAGTGAGAACAGCTTGCCAAATCAAAGGAAGTAATATAAGACTCAGAAGAATCAGCCTTTTGATTACCATTGACTAAAGGTTCCAGTATGTTAGAATTTGATCCAATATGTTCAATATAAAAGGGAGCAAGTGATTTTGGATTGCCTGCTGCAATCTAAGGAATAGATTAAACAAGAGAGTGTCTAAAGTGGATTTCAAAGTAGCATTTTCTAGCTGCACAGACTTTCTGTTCTGCATAGACTGAATCACTAACGATATTTACAGGGATCAGCTTACTAAGCTCTATAATATACAAATTAGCAGTTATTTCTAACATAAGGTTAGAATAACATGTTGCAAATCCTTAATCCTGATAGCTGATTTTCTTTTTGAGGAACCACCTGTAAAATAAGTCTGTACATCAGAAATTGGGTTTACTCATATAATCTGAGGTATTATACATGAGTATCTTAGAAAAAAATGGAAAGACAGGGTCACTACAAAAATGATTGTCAATTTGCCCTATAAAGTTAGTGAAAGCAGTGTGCCAATAAACAACTTGTAAAGAAACTGAATATTGAGACAATTCTATGTGTAATATAATCTGAGATGTATCATTACCAAACAATTAATTATAGCAAGTTCTCCCAGCCACTACTACTCTTGCCATTTGTTCAGTATATAACTGTAGAGTTTTTACCATCTGATTAGGAAGGTGTAGTCATTCAATCAGGAACAATGGAGAGCTGGAAAATTGTTCTAAGAGCCCCGTAGGAGAATAAGGAGTATCCAAAACATAGAGAATAAAAGAATGGTGATCATTAATCTGATATACTTGTTCTTCCTGTAACATTCTTTCTACCAACTATAATTCTTCCTGTGCTTCAGGAGTTAATTATCAAGGGGAATTAATCTGAGGATCATTAGTAAAGTATTATTGACTTGTTTTAATTGATATGTGGCAATACTTAATTTAGGCTGAATCCAATTAATGTCGAATAATTTTTGAAAATCATTTAAAGTCAATAAAAATTCTCTTATTTTAGTTTTGCGATATCACTATCTGTTCTGTAAGTAAAGTTCCCAAGTAGAGATAGGGACCGGAAGTCTGAACTTTGTCAACAGCTATGCAAAGACCATGACTTTTAAGGTCCCTCTTTACTACAAAGCATGTAGCTGTGTTTTTGTTGCCATGGACTGCAAAATGTCATCCATATAATGAGTAACATAAGCTTGAGGATATTTCTTTCAAGCGGATTGTAACGCTTGATTTACAACATGCTGACACAGAGTGGAGCTGTTTATCATTCTCTGAGGTAAAACTGTCCATTGATATCTGCTCATAGGTTTTTTAAAGTTAATACTGGGTACAGAGAAAGCAAAATACTGGTTATCAGGTGGGTGTAAGGGAATTGTAAAGAACAATCTTTAAGATCAATAACAATCAACTGGCTGCAGGAGATGATGGACCAGGCTGTAAAGAAGCATTTACTGCTCTTCAATCTTGTAATAATCTCCAGTTTCTAGATTCTTCATGTTCTTTGGTACATGAACACAGGAGTGTTCCAGGGCCTGGTAGATGGTTCTAAGAGCCCTAATTGAATTTGTTCTTGCACTAAAGAATGTAAATGGTTTAGTTTCTCTTTATGTAGGGGGCCACTGATCCATCCAGATCTGGACATCTGTTTTCCATTGAAATAGCAAAGCTGCCCTGGGGGGAGAAGCATCAGTGACCCTATCAAAAATGACACTGATATCATATGCCTGCCTGGTGTAATCTAAGAGTAACTGATTACGGGTCAGGATTACCTTGCAAATTTTTTCCTAAACAAAATTCTCATTGACATCCCATCTTTTTTGTAATTTGTTTTGCCACATTAAAAGGTTCATTACTCAGCATAATTCTCCATTGCTTTAAGAGATCTCTTCCCCATAAATTTACTGATATGGGAGCCACATAACATTGAATGGTCCTGGCTTGATTTTCTGGCCCTAAGTAAGGTAGGGGAGCTGTGCTTTGCAATACTTGTTGAGGTGAACCAAGCCTCACTAATGAAGTAGCAACAGCATTAGTGGGTCAGAGGGGAGGCCCAATGCCACAACAGACACATCAGCTCCTGTATCTAGCAATCCTTCAAAATACTTGCCGTTTATTTTTATTTTTCACATATGTCTTCCCTCACCTAATTCTTGGATAAAATAAATTTCTTTGCTTGGCTCATTACCAAAGCCCTCTTCCTTTCTTTGCTACTTCATATTTGTATCAAGAGGAGCCCTACTATAGGAAGAAATATCAATTGAGCAACATAATCACCTTGCTCAAAAACCCAAATGACCAAAGAATGAGTCACAACTTGGATTTATCCTTTATAATCAAAGTCAGTTACCCCAGCCATCACAGTTATACTACATAGTTATACTATACACAGTTATACTACAGTTTAGACTACTTTTACCGATAATTAATCCTGAGGGCTTGGTCCCAGATCCTTATAGGCTTATTTCCCCCCATAAGTGTTACTTTCTGGACTGCAAGGAGATCTAATCCTGTGCTCACTGGAATTCTGAGAGTGAGTGAAACAATGTTTTGCCAGGAACCTGGGATGGATTGCTGGTCATTGCCTGTACTGGAAAGGTCTCTGTTGTTTGAAGGGCCCGGAGCTGGTCCTGATTCTCGGTTCCTGTAAGGGGGGTGCTGTTCTTATGATATTTAGAATGGCAATTCTCTGCCCAATGATTTCCTTTTTCACACCAACAGTAAAGACCAGGAGTTGGACCAGTATCTCCCTCTGTAGGAAGCAGAGGCTCCTGATTTGTCTAAACTGGCTATGGTAGCAGGGATGGAGATAATTCATGAGACTAGTCAGGGTTACTCCCATCGAATAAGGCTAAACTGGCTATTGACAATGATTGAAGCTTTGTCCACCCAAGTAATGACCAACACTGGGACCTCAGTAGGGGTCCATTTCATTGAGTGATGAGCCAAATAGCTGAATGTAGGCTTATTGTCTTGAAGCACTTTCATCATGAAAACGTCAGCATTATGTAGAGACAGGGACAGAGACTTAATTCTCCATAGGAACATTCTTTCCATGTAGGCAACATGTCTGCTAAAACTAAAATTCATGAACTCACAGCATACATTATCCCTTGTCAGCACAGCTTATAAACAAGGAATTCATTTCACAGCTCAAGAAAGTACAGCAGTGGGCTCATGCTCAGGGGTTACACTCCTCTTATCATGAGCCTTACCATTCTGGAGCTATTGGCTTAACATAAAGATGAAATGGTCTTTTGAGCTCTATATCAGTGACTTACAGGAAGCAACACCTTGAAGTTATTTATCTGAATCATCATTTAACATATGGCTTTATTCTCTAATAACCAGAATATGTAAGAATGAAGGAGTAAAAATTTAAGTGATATCACTTACCATTATGCCTAGTGAAAAACTAACAATATTTTTTTCTGCTTTAAATACTTTATGCTTGAATATTTTAGCCATTTCAGTTCTAGAAGAAGGGACACTTCATGAAGAGGAAATAAAATGATCAATTGCCCTGGGAATTCAGAATTTTGCCTGGCACTTGACCAATTTTGGTTCCTCTTTGAATTGAAAGAAAAAGAATAATGTTGAAGTGTCAGCTGGGATGATTGAACCTGAGTACCAAGGAAATTCAACTTCCATTCTCTACGGGAAGCAAGGACAGAAATGACAGCCATACTTTGGAGATAAAGTTTGATATAGAACTCTAACTATTCAAATTGATTAAAGACTACTAACTGCCCAGAATGAAGTTTCATCAATGAACATTTGAGTCATCATGCACAGGTAAAATACAATGATAAGCTGATGAACTGGTTGAAACCAAAAGCAATCCAGAAAAATTACTAAAGGGAAATAATGGAAAATACAACTGCTTGACAAGAGATATAAACAGAGGACTAAATGTATTAGGATTATTTCTTACTTGTTTTGAGACAAATGTTTATCTTTGTATATCTTAGTAAAATGTATGTTGCTATAACAAAATATGAGAGCCTGGATACATTAAAAAAGAAAAATGTTTATCTAATCTCAAGTCTCAGAGGCTGACCATGGAAGATCGGGTGTTCACAGCTACCGAGCTTCTAGTGAGGGCTCCTATGACTACAGCACAGGGTGGTGGAGAAATGTAAGGATGCCTGTCAGATGCAGGTGTTACATAACAAGACAGAGCCAGACTAAGGGCCCACATTCGCTCTTTCCATCTCTAGCTGCTGTCATAGGAACTAATTCACTGGACATGAGCAGATTTTCTCCCCTTTTCCATATCATTGCAGGAGAGAAACAAGAACAAATATTCTTGGTTTAAAAGTGCAAAAGTGATATTTTGAGATGACAGCTCTTACAGGTGATTTCTGTTTTCCAGGTGTGTGTGTGAGAGAGAATATTATAATGGTGACAAAATGAAACAGCCTCGGCTTTCTACCATAAACTTTATAGTTCCCTAAAGAAATTTCCAATTCCTACTGTTTTCTAAATGTAGCTCTGCAGAAGTCAGTTTTCTCAGCAGAATCCCTCAGCGAAGTGGGAGGCTGCTGTGCTCTGTGCTCCACCTTTCCTTTCTTATGCTATCTCAATCACCGTCCTGGGAGGATTCAATGATATGAACTCACCAAGAAAGCTGTCAGGAATTATTAAGGGAAGTAGATATTTCTATCTACCCACATTGTAATTGTTTCCTCTAAAAATATATTATTGTGCAATTTTGTTGCCAAGAATGATGAAGATCCTGTTTATCAAAGTATCAAAACCTTTTTATGCTCTGGACTTCACATCTTATAACATATAGACCAGAAAATGACCTAGAGCAATTATATAGATAAACACCAGGTTTCTTGCCCAGCCTGTTCTCAGTAACTCATCTGTTTCAATGTGAGATGTGTATACTCTGTAAAGCTGTCCCTCAAAGAAGTGCATGGTCTTGCAGACACTCTGGTGTCCCCACATGAAAGACAGAAGCAGAAACTATTGGTCAAGTCAGCAGGATAAGAAATATCTGCCATCTAAGTGGAAATATGCTCCTAGTACCCATTTAATGTCTTAGTTCTACATGAGCAAGTCAAATTACATTACAGTACTTGAATAAATAATATAGTAAAAAAGTTTCAATGAAGGGAAACATTTGATGAAGTCATATACATTAAGGATATTGTTCTGAATAGTGATAAATATTAGATTAGATCCACCTTGATATTCCAAACAGGAGCTTCTGGACAAGTAAAAATGTGTTTGAATCAGCACAACATGAATTAGTTCTGGTTATAGAGTATTTGATAAATGAATAAAAAGATGAAATGGATAAGTAGGTAGATAAATATATGATGAGAGATAGATATAGAGATTATGTAAATATATTATATTTCTCCTTACTAAATTTATGTGTGTTGGACACAAACAACATTGGCACTTGATAGCTCTGTGCAAATCTGCTTCACCTGAGCTGAATCAAGACTGCCTCACAGGTGACCTACCTTCTTCATTGCAGTGTGACCCTTATGTGCACAGGTCGATGCATCCCTGAAATACAGGTAAGAATGGAATGAAGAAAAAATAGAGCACATTTTTAATATAGGAAAGAGGCTCTGTGAATCACATTATGCATGTCCAACTTTGTCCTGGAGAACACGAGGGAGGACCTGGGATGACTGGACTCACTCACATCAGGTATGAACCCTTAATCACATTGAATCACTCACTTGTGCTTCAGAGAGGAACTCTACATTTGTGCAATGCAGTAAAAACTGACACTTGTATCATATGCTGTTTGAGTGTAAAAATTAGTTAAGATTGTGACTTATAAGTAAATATCATAACATAGTTACATAAAATTCTTGTTTTTTCTAAATATTATTTTCACCAGACTGGACTGGCAAACTCACATCTAATCTGGGTATTGAAATTTTGCTGCTTCTAGTCAACAGAGCTCTCTGTATAGCAAAAAGATATGCAAATAGGGCCTCCTTCTGCTGATGTAAACCAGCCCAGCCCTGACCCTGCAGCTCTGCAGAGGAGCACAGTCCTGGATGCTCAGCTGTTCCCACTTGGTGATCAAGACTGAACACAATCACCTCACCATGGAGCTTGCACTGAGTTAGGTTTTCCTCCTTGCTGTTTTAAGAGATAATTAATGAAGTACAAGAGACAGTGTATACGTTGACAGGAGTGAGATAAAAAGTGGACATGTGTGACAGTTTCTTGAGAAGGATGATGTCTCTGTTTGCAGATGTCCAGAGTGAAGTGCAGCTGATGGAGTCCAGGGGAGGGTTGGTGCAGTCTGGGGAGTCCCTGAGACTCTCCTGTGCAGCCTCTGGATTTATCTTCAGTGACTACTGGATGAGCTGGGTTGGCCAGGCTCCAGGTAAGGGGCTGGAGTGGGTTGCTCTTCTTAGAGACAAGGGTAAAAGTCACACAACAGAATATGCTACATATGTGAAAGGCAGATTCACCATCTCCAGGGATGACTACAAAAGCACAATATATCTGCAAATGAACAGCTTGAAAGTTGGGGATATAGCCATGTATTACTGTGCAAGAGACACAGTGAGGGGACCTCAGTGTGAGCCCAGAAAGAAACCTCCCTGTTGTGATGCTCAGGGGTCACACAGACCACACTGTGTTCAGTATCAGCCCAGGACAGGTGCAGAGGGTGAACCAGTCTGATTTCCTGTCAGGATCTGAAATTTCCTGTCCATGTGACATATTCTCCAGGGGACTCTGCATTCATGAGTCTATACTTACCTTTCATGTCCCTGAATTAAAATTTTGATTTAATAGTAAGATATATCCTCACCTGCACACATGTTCAACTGTCAGTTTTGATGGTAAAAATGTCTCTTCAGTGGTCACCAGGACCAGATCCTGAGGAGACACGGACAACATGTTGAATTCCTTTCTAATGAAAAACACATCTCAGTGATGTTTCCTTTTCACTACCAGTTTTGATATTTAGAATAGAGGCAAAACAGAGATAGCCCAGGCTCAGGGATAGACACAACTTTTAGAAACTTAAATCTTACCCTCCCTCCCACATATAACTGCATTCATCAAACTCAGAATTCATTCAATTGTCTATTTCCCATACCAGAGATCAAACTCTGGACCTTGTGCCTGTGAGGCAGGCATGGTGCCACTGAGCTAAACCCCTATTGTCTTTTTAAATAATTTAGTTACTCTTAGTTTTTATTCTCCCATCTGCTTTTTGTATTTATCTGCTTTCTTAGACTGGAAAACAAAGTGTCTGATTTTAATCATATGTCTCATGTACTTTACCTGGCTCTCAGAAGAGGCTCAGATGTGACTTATAAATACTCCAGGTGACACACAAAGAATGTCACTCATTCTTGTGCATGCAAGACACTCATTCTTTCCTCTACATTTAAATATATTTTAAATTATACATATTTAATTTTTATTTCCAAATTTATAGAAATTAAGAGTATTAATAGTGCAGAAATAAAGTTGCTTTCTTAATATGGGATGTGATGTCAGAATTGAATGTGCTTGTCTGACTGTTGTAGAATCCCCTCCTTCCCTTGGCTCCCATGGAGTCACCAATGTACATCCAGCTGTGCTGTGATCTCTCAGGAAAAGGGACAGGAGACTGGTGGCATCAAAGGCACACAGAGCAGGACATCAGAAAGAGTAGCCAGGAATATTTAGCAGGACCTGAAGTTGCATCCAAGATAGAAATTCATCTCTTTAAATTTTGCTATTGAGATACCAAATCCTTTTTTGTAATATCATCCTTTTTTATAATAAATTTTATTTTATTTTATCTCTATTCCCCCCTCAAGCCTCTCCTCCCTTTCCTATGTACAAAACTTTGTCAAAACCATCCTCTTTGTCTAAAAAATGATCCTGACTTAGAGTAAACAGAAGATCATTGACTCCCCTATCATTTACAAAACACTTTCACTGCAGTACCATAATTAGAAATAGACCCATACCCATGTACAGTTTATTTTTTACACAATGGAAAACAGTATTTGGTTGATAAAAGATCTTTATTTTAACAATTAATGCTCTGGCACCTGTTACAATGACTGTTAACAAGGTAAATAATATAGCAAGTTTTGTATAGTATGTTGAGGAAATGGAACCCTAGTACACTGTGGGAGGGAGTGCAAATTATTGCAGACAAAACTATCTATATTATAAAAAATATAGGAAGCTTTTTAATGAAATAGTACTATGTGATCCATCAATCTTAGTTTTCTGCAGCTATGACTAAATATAAGCCTACAAAAATGAATTTGTCAAACATGGACTAAAAAAAAAATTAAACAGACCTATGATTAGTAATGAGAGTGAATTGGAAATAAAAGGACTCTCTCTCCAAAAAAGTGGAAGAACTTGAGAGTGGATCAGAGTGGCATGGCTGCATGCAGATCCCAGCCAGTGCCCCGCCCGGATACCAGTAGCTTGGGCACACAAGCCCAAGCCAAAGGGCTACCCAGAAAAGAGCTGCACAGGTGCACAAGCAGCAGCCAGAGCCCCACTATGATACTATCAGTAAGTGTGCTCATATCCCAGTGAGCAGTGGCATGAAACAGAGTTGTGCGGCTGGATGTAGATCCCAGCCAGGACCCTGTCCTGACCCAAGCAGTCTGGGTACACAAGCCCAAGCCCAAGAGTTGCCCAGAAAAGAGCTGCACAGCTGCATAAGGATCAGCCAGAGGCTCACCCTGATACCATCAGTAAGTGTGTGGAGACCCTAGCCAGAAGCCTGCTCAGACCGGGGTCTGGGATGCACATCCCCAAGCCAAGGCCCTCCCAGACAACAGCTACTTAGGGGGGCAGGCCCTAGCCAGAAGCATACCTAGATACCATATCAAGTGTGCACAGGCCCCAGAAAGAAGCCTGCCCAGACAACAGATCACCTCAGGAATCCAGAAGGAAACCATTCTGAACCCAGGAATTGGTACACCTGTGAGCAGCAGAGAGAAGGTTGCTCGGTGGCTTGCTGAGAATTGAAGGCCACTGGGTGATCAAAAAGTTGCCTCAACAAAGGGACAGCAGGCTGCATCTGTTGAAATGAGAAGACACATAAATAAGTCTCAAAACCAGATGTCCAGATCACCTAAGGCAACCCCAAAGGAAAACAAGATGGAAAAATCTGATACTCAACCATCTTTCCTCCCTGAACTGGCAACCAAAGATGATCTAGAAAAAATGAAATCAGAAATAATTTCTCAGATAACAGCAAAGATTGTGCCCATAGTGCAAGACATGATTAATAAATCTAGAGTGGACACAGATAAAAATAATAGAGCTGAGGAACATAATGGAAACCCAACATAGGAAACAAATGAAATCCATGAAACAGATGCAAATAGATTTCCAGGAGATTAAAAACTCCAGTGAAAATTTACACAGCAGAATGAGCAAGTGTGGGGACAGAATTTCAAATATAGGAGATGGGATTGCAATTAGTGGTTGGGAAAAGAAAAATCTCTTAAAAATAGTAAGGGACCATGAGAAATCAATCAAGCAGCTGCTAGATGATGCAAAGAATAACATAAGACTGATGGGAGTCAGTGAAGAAACAGGAGAGAGTTCAGATGACATAAAAAACGTTCATAGAAGAAATGGCAGAAAACTTCCCAAATAGGGGAAAAGAACTTGACATATAGATAAGTGAGGGATATAGGCATATGTTAATAGTCTCAATTCACCAATCAAAAGAAATAGAATGGCAGGATGGGTCAAGAAGCAAGATCCAACAATATGCCACATACAAGAAACTCACTTAATTCAAAAAGAAACTTATAGAATGAAAGTTAAAGGGTGGAAAAAATACTTCAAGCAACAGGAACTCTCCAAAAAAGTAGGAGTAGCTATCCTTTTTGCAGACCAAGTGGATTTCAAAACAACACTGATTAAGAGAGAGAAAGAAGGACACTACATCCTTGTAAAGGGGGCAATCCAAGAGGAAGAGATGATAATCATAAACATATATGCACCAAATACTACTGCACCCAGCTATTTAAAACAAATACTAACAGACATGGAAAATGAAATAAACACGAATACAATTGTAATGGGGGACCTCAACGCCCCATTGTCACAACTAGACAAAAAATAAACAACATGATGTATCTTGGTTCTTGTTTTTTCCCCATCCCCTTGCCCTCTCTTCACCCCCTGCAAAATGTACCAATAAACTAAATGGAAAAAAAATAAACAACAAAATGTTGGAACTGAATCAAATTCTTTTTTTTTTTTGGTATCGGGGATCGAACTTGGGTCCTTGCGCTTGTGCAGCAGGTGGCGAAACTGCTGAGCTAAATCCCCGGCCCTCAATCAAATTCTTGAACAATTGAACTTAACAGATGTTATAGTGTTCCACCCCACAAAATCAGAATACACATTCTTATCAGCTGCACATGGGTCACTCTCCAAAATAGATCACATACTCACTCATAGAACATGTTTAAGTAAGTGCAAATAATTGATGTTATCCCCTGTATATTATCAGACCATAGTATAATGAAATTGGAGATCAACAGCAAAAGAAAATCCAAGAATTTCATAGACACATGGAAATTGAACAACACACTTCTGATTAACCAATGGGTCACAGAGGAAATTAAAGAAGAAATCAGGTAGTTTCTACAATTAAGTGACAATGCCAGTACAACATATCAAAATCTATGAAACACAATGAAAAGACACAATGAAAGCAGTTTTATGAGGGAAATGCACAGCAGTGAATACTCACATGAAAAAAACAGAGCAATCTCAAATACACAACGTGATGCTGAACCTCAAGTTTCTAGAAAAAGAGCAGGACAAACCAAAAGCTCATACAAGGGAGGAAATTATAAGGATCAGAGCAGAAATCAATGCAATGGAGATTAAGAGAATGATCCAAAAAATTAATGAAGCCAAGAATTGGTTCTTTGAAAGAAGAAACAAAATTGACAAACCCTTAGTCAATCTTATCAGGTAAAGGAAAGAAAAGGCCCAAATCCATGCAATTAGGAATGAAAAGGGTGAAATTACAATAAGCTTAGCAGAAATCCAGAGGATCATCAATACCTACTTCAAGAACCTATATGCCAATAAGATGGAAAACACAGAAGCAATGAACAGACTCATAGATACTCATGAATTACCAAAGTTGAAGGAAGAAGACCTAAAAATTCTAAACAACCCAGTATCAATCAATGTAATTGAAAACATAATTAAAAACTTATCAACTAAGAAAATCCCAGGCCCTGATGGCTTCACTGCTGAATTCTACAGGACATTTAGAGAGCTATTGCCACTAGTGTTTAAACTCTTCAATGAAATTGAAAGGGAGGCAATACTCCCATATTCATTCCTGGAAGCAAGCATCACCTTGATCCCCAAAGC